TTCTCTAGAAACTGTTTCATTTTGAGCGGAGTAATTAAATACTTGTTAAGCCATTGGCCTTCAGGTTAGGGAACTTGCTTGGAAGGGGACAGATGAATATTTCAGACTGTTCTGATTAACAGTTCACTATTTTAAGCTAAGCCAAGTAGGGAATAAATCCCTAGCATTCTCCTTCCAAGTAAAGCTTACTTTAAAGTCTCATTCACACACTGCTTTGCTTAGTCTTTCTCCTTTACATGCCACTCCTAGCTAATCCAGAGTTATGAAGACAGTTCTAAAGAAAGCTAGAATTTCAAGGTCAGCATTTCCTGTTGCCTGGCATTGGTGGCTCTCTAGGCACTTTCATCCTTTGCAAAGGAGATTCTAATGTGCCCAACATAACAAGTCTAAGAGTATCTATAAATAAGTCTCTTACGTGGATATCACCTCTAACTGATTAATTTTCTTACGGTTTACCAAATTTCTATTAATGTAAAAATGAAAAAACTCTCTGCCAATTTCAACAAGCTATGGCAAGCATTTTGCTGCTAGCAATATATATATATATATATATGGGTTGGAGGCTGTGAGATATCTTGTGCAGAACCTCATCTTATCTAAAGCACAAAAGTTGAAGTTCAGCTTTTCCTCCTTTCAAGACATGTCAATCACATTAGTTGAGGTAATTCAAACTCAGTATGTAGAAAATTCATTAACATTCTTTGTACATTCTTTCCTGAAGTTTCCCAATTACTGAAGAATTGTCAAAGCTACCATCTTCTAGAAGATTTTTTCCAAGGGCAAAGAATTCTGATGGATTTTTTTCTAGCAATACTACAAATAGGCTTCTCCCTTTTATTTATTTTCTTTTTTTTTCCACAATGTCAGGGAACAAACTGAGAGAACAAGAAAAAGCAATTAAAGATTGTTTTCACACTTCTTTATTCCTACAGATCTGCTAGTTTTGAGATGGAGGATCCATCCTTCGTCCTTATTTTTTGTATATGATGTTGCAGTAGCTACCACTGCTATTATTAACACTTTACTTTTAGTGGTAGATGTTAACGTACGCAAAATCATCCAATGCTGCATTCCCTAACTACACTCCAAACGATACGTTGGCTTCAAGAAATGTGAACAACTCTCTTCCTTTATAAATTGTGATTGTGGATAAGGCAAAGGGACCTGTGTGTTTGCAAACTGTTAAAAGTTTTGCCCACCTGATCCTAAAATGTCCCTGCAGAGCTCTTATGAACTTCTTGGAAAAACAGAAAGGATATGAGATTGACTTACATCTATGATGCCATGAAAAAATAGAGAACTTTGACTGAGAATGAAAGTGATGACTCACAACAGATTCCACCTTGTTGCCTTTGTTACTCTGTTATTTTATTTTTTTTTTTTTAAACACATTTAAATTTGCTAAGAAAGCAAAATAAATAATCTTTAATTGGTGCTCTTACTGTGAAAACCAAGAAGCCCAATTACTTTCTTATGCATCTTCAAAACAGGGAAAAAAAATTCCAAAAAAGCAGGTCTGAGGCCCCTACTCATAGACAAATCCTTCATTTTCTTCTTCATGAATTCTTCATTGATTCCCCCAGCTCCTACTGTCTAATAGTGGGCAATCAGTGCTTTACAGAAATGAGGTCCTGTGAATTGCCAGCAGCAAAAGGCTGATTGCCAGAGAAGGGGGATGATCTTCATTTTACCTAGCAAGCAGGCAACAACTCTTAGCAGGAGTAACTGCTAGCATTTCAAAACCTTATCTGGTTTATTAATAACAGTGTGACTGATATGAGCCACAAATGCTGTGGAGGATTCACAACAAAAGGACATTTGTTCTTTCTAAACAGGAAAGTGTCACTACAGATTCAAAACAAGAAAAACATACCAAAAGAAATATTGCCTTTGTTAGCAAAGTTGTAACAATTCCTCCTTGCCTCTTGTTACACTCAATTGTATTTAGAACCTGACTGAAATGGTAGAGCAAAGAACTTTGAATGCACTGAGCTGAACAGTTTCAAAGCAACGCATCATACACACACACACACACAAAAAAAAAAAACCCTAAACAAAACATATGGATATTTGGCCACATCACTTTGTCTCATATAATGTTAAAGCGAACACTGAATCTTGGAACAAACCCAGTCAGCTGAGGGCAAAGGTTTTCATGGCAATATGCTAGTAACCAATCTGTTCCTTGTTTTAAACATTGGTACATTTCTGTCTGCAAGCTGACCCATTCCTTAAGCTTATAGACACATCACTTAAGGATTTAATAGTCAGAGACACTGAGAAACTGTCCAGATCTCTCTTTGACAGTTCAAGAGACAACTCCAAGAGGCTGAAATACTACTGGGATTTGAAATAGCACATGCAAAGAGTCTCAATTGCTTCAGCTAGTTAAAGTGGTTTGTTTCTACAGTTTCATATGCATTAAAAATAAATGTATAGCAAGTAATATTTTAAAGTAACTTTCTGTTATACTGCTGGCATCATCTCCAAAACAGTCGTATGTCTTAATGACATTCCATTTACTTAACTGCTTTTCTCATTAAAAACACAGCCCTGGTGGTACTGATTGCTCAACATTCAACTAGATCACACAGAGCAGCCTGGTCTGAAGAGGCAGGCAAAAAACCCAGGGCAGATCAACAACCACAGGGAAGGGAAGTTCCCGGCTAAGAGTTTATCAGGTTGAGGAACAATGTGCATTGCCTGATGCACTTAATAGCCAGGAAGTTACTCATCACTGTTAGTGATTCTTGCTGAAAATACTAAAATAATTTCCAGTACTTCATCCAAGTATCTTTCAGCTATCCAACACTATTAAAAAGGCTATGCACAGTTCTACACATAGAGTTTCTGCAAATGAAATTAAACACAGAAGTTGATGAGGTATCTTCCGTTTCATTTTGCTTAGCTGGAGAGTACATTAAAGCAGTGCCTTGAAAAGGATCATTACAACAGTCCAGAACTGCACTACGCAGTTTAAGACCCCAAGTCCTTGTTTTTTCCTCTTTTTGTAAATCAGATACAACTGAGGCTTTATACTCTGAGGAGTATTTATTATTTCCTACCTTGGTAGGTAAAAATAATGCAAAGTTCTCTTATACTCCCAGGATGAAAAAGTTATTTTCATTCAAGCTCTCTCATCACATTACCCTGCAGCTAAAATCTGCTTTTTGGCTTTGCTGTGAAAATCAGTATACCCCCAGATGGTGAAGAGCTGTTCAGGGTGCCCTTCCTCACCTGCACAGTAGAATAGTGAGAATGCGATGGCCCTCCGAAGCTCTCAGAGGGCCTGGTGAAGAGATTCCATCTGCACCAGCCTCTGGAGGAGGGCCCTTAAGGAACACAATGTAGACCCAGCCAAAATCTTCCAGGAATATCTGCCAGGCAGAAATGTTCCTCCAGGACATGCATGCAGGCTCTTATTTGTAAAAAGTTCCAGGTGCTCTTACTTTTCACCTGCTTTCCCTGAGGCTTGGGGGCTGGAGAAGTGATGCTGTTAGCACCCAAGAGCCCTACAATTATGTCAAAATGGCACCCTGACTCTCTGTCTGTGCTGCATTTTGCAAGATGTGTATCCCAAAGATGGGAAATTCTGCGGAGTGTTTAACCATAAAGGACAAACTGTATGTCCCGTCTCCTGTGTTCCTCCTTCAGGAGGCTTGGCTGTGTCGCACAAGACCAGACGTTACATGATGCAAAATCATGTCTTCACGTACTCTCTGAAATCTGTGATGCTCATATTAGAAAATTCAAGGAGCTAACGAGGAAATAGGTACTACTGCTTAATGACTCATTTTTGTACTTCTTTTAGTTCATGGATCACTCCTAGTGCAAAGGAGCAAAATTAAAATATGTCTCAACAGATTCCTGTTTGGTCTCAGTGATCTGCAGATCAGGAAGACATGAATAGCATGCTGCAATTGGATAAGTATAATGGGAACATTTCATCGATGTACCTGGTGATGCCTGAGAATGCCAGCTTTCAGATGAGGCCCTCAGCCCTCTTTATTTCAGCTCTAATGTTGTAGATAAATGATCACATTGCAGTTTTGAAAAGCGCACAAAGACAACCCCAGGTTTGTAACTAGCATTCACTTTCTTAACACGTAATATAATATGCAGGGTTGTTGCTGACTGAAGCTTGGCTGTTAATGTTTTCCTGCATAGCGACTATACTTACAGCACCTAATTCATCTGAAAGCAGTTTTTAGGATTCTGAGAGAGATGTTAAATAAAACTAGATTACATTTTTCCATTCTGTCTCACATACAAATCTCTATAAATATGAACCAATTCTGTGTGTGCAGTTTGAAAATAAGCTTTGCTAGTGAGTACTTTCAGAGGGTTTTTCACATCCTTACTTAGAGGCAGTATCATTTCTCCCTTCAACATGAAGAACATACTGGAAGAGACTGGAAAATCTGCAAAAATTACAGCTGTATCTCAATAGGTAACTCACCTCACAGGTACAGCTCTGCTGCAGCACTTTCCTGAACACATATCTGTAGCGCAAAAGTCATTTTGGCACTAGAACTTTCCACGCTAGCACGTCCTTGTTGGTTATCAACAGAATCAAATGATATTTATTCAAGCAGTAGTTAACAAGCAGGGTTTAATTACCCTAGAGCCTGTAGGCTGTTCCCTGCAAAACGCAATCTCATGTTAGGACTTAATTATTTCTTGAAGAATAAAAAGATCTTGACAAGAAGATAAGTATGAGCTCAGGGAACCAGAGGTCCTGGTCCAAGTCATTTTCTTCTGCTGATTATGGATTTGGTGAAAATCAAATTTAATTTTGGTGAATTAAAATTTCTGACAGAGCCAGACTCTTTGAATGCTAAATCAAATAAAGAGGTGCATGTGCTGAGTTAATAATTTTCTGGAAAAATTAATATAAATTAATGATACCACCAAATGCCTGTGCAAACCTTCAGTAATATACAGAAAGGGATATGAGAGACGAGCATTTTGAGAACAAGATGTATTTTCCATTTACTCACCACTTATCCAAGGGACCACTTTTCTTTGTCCTCTTGTCCAGTCAAACTGTTTTTTCTCCTGAAAAAAAAGTAAATAATGTAAATCACATACATATGTTTAATGGTGTAATGTACAAAATGGTCATTAACTACACATCTACACATCCAACTTGAGCAAAAATTTGGTGGTCAGTTGACTACTTATTTATTTATTTAAGTTGTGCACAATGCTTTATAGAAGTAAAAATGAAAACCAAACCAAACCAAAACTAACAACCATGAAGATAAACATACATGACTGACACAACGTCATAAAAGCATGCCTTTTCAGGTGAGACTATATTAGGATTGGGAGTTTCATTGCTCAATAAATACTTGTTTCTAAAAATTGCAAGAGAGAGAGCTGGCAGAAGATAATGCCAAATGCATATGCAGTCTGCCTCAGACTTTTTGGTAGCCACATCAAGCTTTGGAATTAAACAAAAAAAAAAAAAAGAGAGAGAGAGAGAAACAAGCAACATGTTATTTGATATAATTTCTGATCTGTGTAGAAACGTGCAAAAAAATACCTAAAAAGGTACTTACAAATGTTGCGAACTTTTTAATGTTATGACTCCCTATGCAAGAAATTTTCAAAGTAACAAAATTCTTAAAGAGATCAAAAAAGAACAAAGAGATTCTGTAGAAACAATGGAGCAAATATATCTCAAGGATAACCCCACTGAGATCAGTGGAATTGCACTAGGGATATACTTGGCCCAGTGACTCCAGAAATGATGTTAATAAGGAGCCTTAACACTACTGCTAGAGAAATCTCTATTTAAACCATGCTGTGGCTGTTCATGTGAAAAAGTAAATGGGGCCTTCACACGAACTGCACAGCATGTGAGTGTGAATCAACAGGCTATAATAAACTGGTTTGGTTTCCTTCTCTCAGACTTAAGTAAATGTATTATCTTGTTGCATTTGAGATGTTATAATGAAGGTTATGTCATTATTCCATTATGTACAAAAAAGCCTGATTGTGTCCCCTTCCCCCCCCCCCCCCCCCCCGCCCCAAAAAAAAAAAAAAAAAGGTCTGACAATGAAACATAGTTCTGAGAAAAAAAAGAGAATCTCTAGATCAAAATTAATGAGTGATAAATTCCCTGTTTGTCTAAAACTTGATCTGGTAGGCATCAATATGCTTAGGATGAGGAAATATTTTGTAAAGTAAAGGCCCAGCAGTTGCTGTCCTTTAAGTACGGATGGGGAAATTAGGATGCAAAAAGTTAAGGCAGGCAGCATCACTGGGCAGGTTAGTACAATGGCCACTGGACTACATTGCATCTCCCAAGGTGCCAGGCATAACCCAGTAACAACACCTCCATAGCACATCACCATCTTGAAATATAACTGATCCTTTAAGCTACTTTCTGCTCAAGGGCTTTCAGGATTCAGTCTCCACCAAAGGACAAAATCTAGTTTCCTAATTTAGTGTCTGTTTGCAGTAAAGTGCTCAAACGCAGCTAAAAAAAAAAGCCCCCCAAAAAATAAACCTAACAACCCACGCCACAAAACAAGTCTGTGAGCATGTGAAAGAGATTATAAGATGTAGTGTCTGTGCACTGGCCTGAACTCGCTGCACTGGACTCTGCGACCCCAAAGGTCAGTTCCAGTCCTTGCCTTATAAACAAGAAAACCATGTTGGGCTCCTTTTCAGAGCTCACTGAAAAAGAAATGCAGCATTTCACAGATTTCATCTTGCACATTCAAAACAATCATTTCCTGACATTTCAACTGTTAAAAAGAGACAGTATTTACTACCTAGCATGAAACAGACCAGGTGGCTAAAATGCATAACTAAGTTAAACCATGATATGAGACAGACGAACTCCTGTAGATAGAATAAGACAAGACTCAAACTTCATATTGATACCAATCTAAATGCTTTATGGAAGCAAGACAAACCCATTAATCTTTTTATTTATCTTCCAGCTCTCTTTCACTGAAGAGAATGCTACGGCAGCGCTAGCTGAGATTCTGGGGGGAGTAGTTCCTGCCTCTGGTACAGCCTCCTCAGCTATACTGGGACAGGCGCTTAAAGCCCCTTTCCAGTCCTTCTGGTATTCCTCTTCCCCCTCCTTTCTATCTGATATATATACTTCAAACACAAAAATAAGATCAAGAGCTGCTTTTTACTACATGATTACACAGATCTTGTTGGTAGAGATACATATTTCATGTACGTTCTATTTGGTTTAATATCCTGAGTATAAATTATTTCAATTTGGAAAGCGCTAGGAGATGAAAGAGAAATGTTGCATGCAATTTTCCCTTCACTGTATTAACTCTATGGCATAACCATACCTTCAATCCAAAGTTAAAAGCAAGCACAGATATTGACCACACTTTAATCTGTACTTCATGGTAAGCAAATTTCATTCTGCTATGTTATTTCCCTCTATATTGCCACAATTATACTTTGGACTTCTGCATGAATCCTTCTGGTTATAAATGTTCCACATAATAAAATGGAAAATATTTTTATGGAAGAGAACGTTACACAATCCAGAATGATTTCTCTCACCATCATTCTTTCTAGAATTATTTAGAAACGTTAATTCCTCTACCTATTTCATAAATACCTATTTCATAAATAGTTCAAACACTCCCAAGAGAGCACAAAACACTCCCAAAAGAGCACAAAAATTACTTACGTTTGGATCCTTTAACTGCTGTTTCTAAATTAGCTATTATGGTCTTGTTATCAGTTGGGCATGGCACAGAACAGAGGTGGAGCAAACTCTCCGCTCTTCCTACAAATGACTGTTTGTGACATAGTCTTTAACCCAAATCAACATCTTTATGATGGTTCCAGATATATTAAGAAAAGATCTTTGTATGGGAACTGCTGAGTCACAGCCTGAACCTCTGATTGATCACCTGAGGCGAGCCATGAGTCAGCCAGAGGAGCACAGGTGAAGGCAATTCACCTGTGCTGCCGGAAGGGGTGGAGCCAGGCTCCAGCCCTCCTAGACCTATTTAAGAGCTGGCTACCAGTGTAACATCCTAATATCTGTTGATAGTACACTTAGTGGGCCAGGCAGGCCAAATATACTAAAATTTACATCATGTCTTTTCTTTGGAATTTCTATAAATGGGTCAAGGGGGAGAACAATACTTCTCCAGAGAAAATGATTCCAGGGCAGATCCCAGGATTTGTGGGATCCCCCTATTATGAGCTGGCGGTTATCATTGAAAAATGGGGTCCCTTATGCATTATAGGCAATATCACCCCACATCGCATGGCAGATTACTTTCAGAGACTAAGCAAGGATGTGCTGGTCACTAAAGAAAGACAACTTGCTGCCTCCACAGTGGCATGGCCACTATTAAGTGCCTTAAATCTTGCAGAAATAAGAAATAATACTTTAGAGTTCGATGGATTGAGAATTCACCATCTGAGAACATCGCCTGCTGGCTACATCAGAAGCTATGGTATGCTACACAAAAGACAATGTGAGCAGCTGCTAAAGCATGGGGACTGCCCATTCAACTATCTGATATTGTCCAGGTATGCCAGGATTGTTACGCTTGCTCCAAGATGAGACCAAGATTGTTGCCCAAAACAACAGCCCATGTTGCTAGAGGACACAATCCTCTCCAGCGATGGCAGGTCAATTACATCAGGTCCCTTCCTTGCTCTGAAGGGGCAAGATACGCCCTGACCTGCGTTGACACTGCAAGTGGGCTGCTGCAGGCCTATCCAGTACCGAGAGCAAACCAGGCATATACCATCAAGGCACTCACTAAACTGATGTCTGCATATGGGACACCTCAAGTCATCGAGAGCAACCAAGGGACTCATTTTACTGGTGCAGCGATACAGCGCTGGGCAGAAGAAAATAACATTGAATGGTGATTCTACCTGCTGTATAATCCAATGGGGGCAGGCCTCACCAAATGTTATAACGGTATTCTTAAGGCTGCCCTGAAGACAGACTCCCAGTCCCTGCAGGGGAAACCCTGTGGGACCTGAATGAAAGACCTCGAGATGGCAGACCCAGTGCCCTGATAATGTTGCAGAAAGCGTGGGCCACCCCGCTTAGGATCCAAATTATGGGCACTGATCATCAGGTAAGACCCCAGGTTAGTAACGAAAATAATCTTCTGCTCCCTGCCCCTGAGAATTTAGATCTGGGTACCCATAAAATGGCCCTGGAAGGCGCAGGTAGGGCCCAAGTGGTGTGGCCTACTTGCACCTTGAGGGAGACTATTGGAGGTGGGAGGCTCAGTAGTCCCTCCAGTAATAGGTACATGGCCTACTGATACTGTGGTCAACACTCCGATCTTTATCGCTAAAGGGACCCCCATCGTGTCCCTGTGGCACATCAGGACACCTCCTTTGGTGCCTGATATCGTTATGCAGCTGCAGATATCCGGCCAGAAGGTGTGGTACAGGTGGCCAGGACGTGCCCCAGTACAAGTGGAAGTGTTGACCCAGGATAGAAATACGGCCTGTATCTTGCCTTGGAGAGCAGACCTTCCCCTCCTGGTACCTCTGAAACATCTGTATTACTCCCCGTGAGTCTGTGAGCCTTCAGGATCATCGGAAGGAACAAAATGCCATCAAGCGTTCCAGTGTTGCTGTCAATCACGTACAACACCCAGTGATGGTCTGCATGGGACTGATGGAACATAGAACGGACCTGCACCTCAGGACCTCATGCCTCCAGTCACATCATCGAGCACTGGCCCATAGAAGAATATGGACATCCACTGATCGTCACTCGTCTTGAATTGTACCAACACGCATCACAATGAAAATTGTATAAGCGTCGCGATATAGTGGATCTTTGTATTAAGGAAAGCTTACCCTTTAGTTAACCTGATCATTGGTTCATGCCGTGAAGGGGTGGAGTGTATGGGAACTGCTGAGTCATGGCCTGAACCTCTGATTGATCTCTGAGGCGAGCCATGAGTCAGCCAGAGGAGGGGTGGAGCCAGGCTCCAGCCCTCCTAGACCTATTTAAGAGCTGGCTACCAGTGGGGAAGGATCTCTTCTAGAGATTGCCTCTGCTGGTGTTTTGTGAGCAA